CAGCTGCAGTCGAGCCGAGGCGGCGGCAGCCGCTGCAGCTGCACCGCCTCCCGTCGCGCCGCGGTCGCCGCCCCCTCAGCGCCGTCGCCGCGTCGTCACCCGCCGCAGCCTCTCCGCCTCCGCCGCCGCCCCCTCCCGAGAGTGTGGTGGCGGTGCGACAAACAGCCAGGCTCGGACTAGGCGCATGCGCCCAGGAGGGGAGGGGGCATGCGTAACGACGCTGCTAGAGATGCCTTTCGGGGCCCAGAGATAAAACTTCTGTGATGCCATGCGTGACCTAGTAGTGTCCCCAGCTATGGGCGTGTGTCCACGTTGGAGCCAGGTGTGGTGTGGGCGCGAGAATAGCTCCGCCGTTCATGGAGGCAACCGATGCGAGTCGACTGGTGTGTGTCGTCGTGGTTTCGTATCAAGAATACTCACTCACACGACATGTTTGTTTTATCTGTATGCGCGACATTTTTATCAGCCACCACAGGCCCCGGCCCCGCGCCGCGGTTGCGCCGGCATACTTGATTCACGGCGTGCTTCTTTTTTGAGACGGCAACCGACCGCGCTCAGGGAAGCCTAATGAGGTGCGGGTTTCTGGCCTACGGCCCATGCTGGATCAGCTGAGCAAGCCGGGAGAACCGCGAAATTCTTCTTCGCACCTCTCACGCCTGTTACTCGCTCTTCGGCCACCCTCCGGTCGCCACAAAAGCCTCCCCGCCCGCACCCGTGCCACCCACCCCGTCCGCCCGACCTCCCCTCCTTGCCCCGCCGCAAAGCCTCGCGTCCGCACGGCCAGTTCTGACGCGCCCGCGCCCCTTCGCCCCCATGCAGGGCGAAAACCAAGCGGTCCGGTCTCGGGCTTGAGGATGTCAAGCGCAGCAGCAAGCGTCTCGGTACAGCTCGGACTCGAACGACTTCGCCTACAGCCGCGAGACGGGTGCAGCGGCCCGGCGAAGGAGGGCAGACGCCAGATTGGCAAGCAGGCCGACCGCACGGCGCCGTTCTGGGTCGACTTGCCCGCCTTCCGCCAGCTGCAGGCCCTGTCCGAATGCCCGGCGGTGGTCACGTTTGAGCAGGGCCACCAGTCGCTCCCCGACCGCGTCTGGCGGAGCACCAGCCGACCGTGATGTTTGTCCGCGTCGACTGCTCGACTGCTCCGAGCGAGCGGTTCGACAGCCGCACCGCCAACGAGCTCTGCACGCGGAACCGAAGCGCGGCCGTCCCGCGCCGTACCTATCCATGTGTGCTTGTCGAGAGAGTCGAGTACGACACCTACGTGCTACGAGGTGTTCGGTGCATGTCGAGTGTGCATTGTTCCCCAAGTTGAGCATTGTCGATGTCGTCGAATTTGTGACGACGAAATACGCGATAAGCCGTATACGGCTTTACGGACGATGTCGACGAGTTGGGTCGCTCTCGCGGTAGAGGGTAGTCAGATGACCTCCCATGCTAGTATCATCGGCTAGGGCCGCAGGAAGCGCGGGGGATTCCGCTGGGAGCAACACGGAGCTCCGTTGGACGTTTTCAAGATTAGCGTGTCAGAGTGAAATGGACTAGCCATACAGTTTGGATAAAGCCGTATTGGG